GCGAAGGGGCGCGGCCGGAGGGGGTGCTGCGGCGCGGCCCCGCGGGAGGCGGAGCGGGGCTCGGCAAACGCCGCCGCTGAGGGGCGGAGCGGAGCGGAGCGGAGTGGAGCGGCGCTCCATCCAGCGACGGCCCCTGTTGGAGGCCGGCGGGAACGCGGCGAACCTCCTTCCCTCTCCGCGGGGCGGCGTGCGGCTGCACCGACACGTGGCGCTCGCTCCCGGCCTGGCATCGGGGAACCGCAGCTGTGAGCGGAGCTGGAGCCCTCTCCGGCCTTGTGCCGCTCTGTGCCGGAGCAGGAGCGSCTCCGCAGCAGCAGGGGAGAAGGGTTCCGCGTAGCCCGGGCCAGCCCCTTTGCGCCGGGCCGCAGGGGGCAGCGCACGGTGGGTGCCCCTTGCCTTTGCCGTGGCTGTGGAGCCACCCCAGAGCTCAGCCRTGGGCACGCTGCTGCGAACCTCACAGAGCGGCACAGAAACCATGCCAATGCTCTGCTGCAGGCACGCTCCTGTCAGCCCGTCCCTTGCTCTGTCCCACCAGCTCACCTGCTGGCAGACCCCTCGTCACTCCGCTGGTGACAGGCCTGTGGGAGCACAAGCCACAGCTGGCTCCGTGCTGCCGTGCAGCACTAGCAGAGCCAGATTGCTGACTGGAGGGTCAAAAGCTGGGCTGTTGCAGGAGGTCACGCTCATGCTCACGGCGGTTTAGTGCATACAGGCGTAGGGAGATGCTCTATACCTTCTTGCTACCACCTTTCTCTTCATCTGCTTTTTATGGCTTCTCCCAAGACAACTCTCCTGTATCCAACAGTGCACTCAGGCAATCAAGGAGGACTCCTTGCTTTGCTTTCCTTTTTATTGCTTGAATTAACATCTACCTTCTATGGATCTGCTACACTATTCATATTTTGCTGTGGAGAGTGAGCTGTTGCCCCTCTTATATGGGGAAGGAACTATATGTAGTTCTACTGGAAAGGTGAAAGGAAGTTTTTCTATTTTTCTGCCATAGGTCGATGATCACTCATAGTAAAAGCCTATTAGGGGTTATAGCTTACAAATTGCTTACCATCACTTCATCAGATGTAGGAGATGAATATGATACATCACAAAACATTCCCTATAAATACTCCCCTTGTAAGCACTTCAACACCAAAAAGCAGGAAAAACTACATCATCATCCGGAAAACATGCCTAAAGGCAGGAAGGAAGAGTGGGAGCTAGAGCTGCACACCAACCTGCTGATTCACACAGMTGCTCTTTTTGTGAAATCTCAGACACAAAGGTGGAAGGCACAGAGTGAAAATATTGGCCTACGTTTTGCTGTGGTTTGATCAGTTAGTGCAGCTGTTCTGGACCTGAAGGAAAAATTGGGAAACCTTTGTGCCTCTGAAATAAAAGAGCTATGAGGAGGCTGCCATGGTACTCCCTCTGCTTATGTCATTAATGCACACAGAAAGGTGCAACTCCTAGCAAATTCTCAATAAAATTCTCAATGGCCTCTCACTAGGGACTGATTCATCACATTTTTGCATTCAACCAGTTCAACTTTTTTAACATTTAGAGATCCTTTTAATTTCTGTTCGACGCTTTGTTTCCATAATTCTCATTCATACATATTTCTCTTTATAACCATATCAAGCCATAATAAAAAACACWATGCTTTTCCTTTGAGGCCTCAGATACTAATGTGGCTGCACTTGTTTTTTTGTTTATCGTGGAATCATATAAATCAGCATTTACAGACTATCTTGTATATCCAAAGTATCACACTGACATTAACTAATGCCTTTTATATTGGATTTGCCACACTGCATGAGATCACCAGCCAGTCTAATCCAATATCCTGTTACCAGCAATAGCCAACCTCCAAAGCTTCAGAGGAACTGAATGCTACCAACCACCCCAAAACAGTTACAGCCCTCTTCCAGCCCAGTGCCTGTGACTGATTGGTTCCAATCTTTTCAGGCTCCAGATTCTGAAGGAGTGAAACATTTTATTATGTGTGTCAATAAAGAAAGAATTGATGCTGCCACTAACAAAGCACCTCTCCCCAAAGCACAAAGCTTATGGTCTCAACCCAGGTATTATGGCACAATTTTCCCGATGTTCACTTTCAGGTTGCTTGAATAGAAAAATAAATAATTCATTGAAACGTTTCATTTTGGATAGTAGAAATTTCAAAGCATGAAACCTGTCAAACTCCACTGAAAGGTCAAAACATGCTTATTTTGTGCAGCCCCATCTGATTAAACAATTAATTTCTTATCCAGTGGTTATGGATGTTGCTTTTACTCCACAAAATGAGTTTTACTGTCACATAAGTCGTAGTCTATCAATACACTCCTTTCTGACAGAGACACCAGTGGGATTTGGTCATACTCACTGGCACAGGGCTGGGAAAAGGGCAGCCCATACATCTTGCCCCAGATCCTYTGGCAAACCTGCAGCAGTGGGATGGCAGTGGAGGCTGGGCTGGARAAGACATGTTTTACAACAATATAAACTCATCTTTCACAGTGATGCAAATGCACATTGTTCTGTATGCTTTGATAGACCCCATAGGGATCTGCTGCCCTCCACATCCAGACCTGCCACTGGATTATTCAGATAAAGGAAACATATTTTTAATCTCAGATGTGAAATTCGTATCCTGCCATTCAAACTGCCAAAAGCCCTTCACAACCTTGTAACAACAAATGTGCTTTTCACCCTCCTGCACAGACCTGCCCATTCCTTCCATCCCATGGTGGACTTCTGTAGTAGGTTGATGCTGGCTGGGTTCCAGACACCCACCAAAGCTTCTCTATSGCTCCTTCTGCAGCTGGACAGGAGACATAAAATATAATAAAGGATTCATGAGTTAAGGATGAGGAGAGATCACTCATCAAATATCATCATGGGCAAAACCAGGCTACAGTTGGAGATATTAATTGAATTTATTATTAACAAAATCAGAGCAGGTTAATAAAGTAAAGGAAAACGTTTGAAACACCTTCCCTCCATTCATCCCTCCTTCCTGAGCTCCACTTCCTCCCCAGCTGTGCAGGGAGACAGGGAATAGGAGTTATGGTCAGTTGATCACTCATGGTTTCTCCCGCTGCCCTGGGTAAGGAGTCCTTCCCCTGCTCCACTGTGGGCTCTCTTCCACAGGAGACAGTTCTCCATGAACTTCTCCAGCCTCAGTCCATCTCACAAGCAACAGCTCTCTGCAAACTGCTGCAACATGAGTCCTGCTTAAACTGCTGCAGTGTGGTCACTCTTCCATGAGGTGCAGTCCTTCCAGGACAGGTATTACCACCATTTCTAATTGGCTCATCCTTTATCAGAGGCACATTTGCCTGTGGAGCCACCAAGGATTGGCTCTGCTGGATATAGAGGAAGCTTCTAACAGTTTCTCCCCATAACAACCCCTGTACATACACATCCACACACCCCCACCGCTACCAAAGCTTGGCCATGCAAACCCAATGCAACTTCAAAGGTCATTCAAGTCTGTTCAGGTGTCAAATGTCTAACTTGACACCAGTGTCAATGTAACTTCACTTCTGACAGAAGCCACTGATAAAATATGATTTCTGATGGTAGTGCTCAGCCACAAAAGGTCTCATGAGAGTCTAAGCTCTATCAGAAGGAAAAAAATATAATCTAAGAGATAATGTTACTTCAGGCTGTTACACAATCTATCCTTGGCCATGAGCCCTGGTAATGTTACCATCCTATGTGACTTCCTCCTCCCCAGCACTGTGTGCACCTGCAGATAAAGAGGAGTGCTGAACCTGCTCCGTTTGTTCTCTCCACCACATTGCTGCCCAACCAGCAAACCAAAAGACTGAGACAGCTTCACTCTAAGGACAGGYTTCCACAGACATCCTTCAGCTCCCAGTTCAGGCTTTTGGCTCCAGAGGATTCTCTTGCAAACCTTTTATTCTGGGAGAGAGAGCTCTTACTGCTAAGATGCAGGAGAGCTGCTCACCTTTTCTGTTTCCATCAATCCCCCACACCCAGATTCCAGTGGGAAAGCAGATAGCTGGCATCACACCAGAGATGCCTTTTGTTACTTGGGAGCTGCCAGCATGCCAGGTCTCATTCTAGCAAACAGCATCTCCCACTTGGGCACACACATCACAGCCATGCACTCTTGCTCCTTTGCCTTCTTGCTGACAACACCTCTGTCACCTATTCACAGGCAACTTGTTTGAAATGGGATTTGTGCAGGAGTAAATCACTTTTTAAGTGCTTTTGAAATCCTCACATCAGCCTCCCATAGAGTATACCTCTCCTGTTCTTCTTTGGTTTTTTCCCACTTCCTTCTGCACACATCTCCTGTTTTGCTAACCCTTGGTTACACTTTCAGTACCATACACTGGAACCCACACACAGTTTTGTGTTTAGCAGGGCATTATTCATTTATTAATATTCAGAATAGATGTAAATAGAGCAGCTCATCTCCAAAAGACTATTACAGCAATATGGGGAAAGCAAGAATAAAAGAGAAATCTTGGCACACCATCCAGCCTTCTGCCTTGCC